TTCATGAATATATAGGCAGCTTCAAGGTGGTGGGCAGACTATTATGCCCTGCTTATTAAAATAGTGATAACTTTTAACACAATTTATTTATGTTTATTTTAAAATCTTAATTAATGAGCTTACTAAATTAAGCGCAAGCAAATGTGGGCTTTGTGCATACTGCACATGCCTTGATGCTTTGCATTTGTTTGTACAGCTGTGAAATTCTCAAATTAAGTATCTGTCAGGAAAAGTGAAATACTGCCAGGAGAGCATGCAGATGAAATCCAAGCCAATGGGAGAAAATTACAAAATGGCATCCTGTGACATGAATCACTTTTACGGAATAACTCCTGCTATAATCATAAGTCTGTAGTTTCTAGACAGTAGATCATTAGCAGCAGCTTAGGTAGCTCTAGCAACTTACTACCATAAAAATCCTCAGTATTTATTAAGATTGATATCAGTCATCTCCTTGTTATTTTATAAATGTACATTATTGGATTTATTTATGACTGTAAAATCTCCAACAAGGGGAAAAAATGACTTCTTTGGAAATATATCACACAGTCACAACAGTCTAATACTGCCCTCCCTGTTTAAAATCTCCATTTCCATTTAAAACTCAAAGTTTTGTCTGTCTGAAGTAAAGGATTAGATACAACATGAAAATTTTTAGAATCATCGGGCTTTGAAGCATGATTTAGCTGCGTAACAATGAAGAACATTGTCTTCCAAGATTTGCAAAAGAACCTAGCACCTAACAGCCTTTGAAATGAACAATTGTTAAATGTTTCATCTTTAGAAACTGAAATGCTTTTAAGAACTCATTACTAAATGACTAACAAATCACATACCAAAGCTAGGGAGCTAGAGTCGTGGAGGAGGCATTCAGAGTATCTACTGGGATACACATTACTCCCCTGGATAACAGATACCAAAGCAGGTTGTGATTCAGGTGTTATTTTTAGCTGCAGGGATTCAGTCCTAAAGAAGCATCTTTGTATAGAACAAGTACAAATTTAATTTTAAATCATTTCTTTGAAGTTTGACCCTTGTGAAAGGACAGACTTTCCCATATCCGTCTGCACAACCAGCAAGGTATGCAGCCCCAAGAACCAATAAGGCACAGAACATAGCAGCTTCCCTACTGGGTCAGCCAAAGGTTCATCCAACACAGACTGGCCATAAGTAAGTAGCTGGGGAAAACCAAGAGCGTAGCAAATGCTGCATCTCGCAACACTTTCTCAAGCTCCAACCATTTCCAGCTATGGGGACTTCCTCCTCTAGATGGGGTATCTGTGTGTTCAGCCTTCCAAAAGATCTCTCCTCCATTACCTTATTCGGTGTTTTCTTGAACTCAGCTAAACTTCTACATCCGTTGGCAAGAAATTTCCAACCGATTCATAAACAAGGACCCCCTTTTGTTTGTTTGGCTCCTACTAGCTTCATTCCATGTCCCACAGTTTTTGCATCAAAAAGAGTGAATATCTACTGTGCCATTCCTGATTTTGCCCCCATGCTGCCTCTTTCCACCCTGAAGAATCCTAACCTACTCAGCCACTCATAAAAAGCTGCTCCATTGATCTCCTTCACACATAAAAAGTTACGCCTTCATTGCCTTCCTCTAACTCTTAAGGAAAGCAGACTTTACATTTACATTGCACACCTTTTAATCTCTTTTTCAGTCTCTTAAAGTTGTATTCCCAAGCCATATCACCAATAGTTTCCCAGCTCTTTTGAAAATGTCCCCAGTGCCCCAAAGTGTCTCCACATGACACAAAAAGGAATGGTTTATAGTATCAATACTACCATCTTCCTTCCAGATTTGAAAAACTCAGTATTTTGGGAGGCTCGGCCTTTTTGGTTTATGCTTTCCTGATTTATTCCACGCTCTGAAAGGCTGATGCTCACCTAGGGGGTCCCTGAAAGCTGAATAACATTCAGTCCTCCCTAAGAAGAAAGTAACCAATAGAGTTCTGTTAAAAAACAAACTGCAAAACTGACAGTGACTAGAAACTCATTGCACAGGCAGTTAACCCAGAAGCAATAGGATTTAACCTCTGCCATTCTGTAGGGTATTGCAATATGAACTTAAGGAATTATGGCAAAAAACTGATGAGTCAGGTATGTAATGTTAGTTTTTAATGTCTTTTTACATGTGTTGCTATAGCAGCGAAACTGGCCAGACATCCCCGAAGAGCTGCAAAAGCAAATTCATCATCAGTAGTACATATCAAGCAGAACAGGATACATCATCTTCCTCTAAGACAAAGCTGAACCCAAAGTATTTTATGGAGTTTTGCCATTTAGGAAGTAGCTCCCATACAAGGAAAAACTTCACTTATGAAAACAGACCAAATCTTGAAGCTTGTAGAGGGACTTAGTAAGATTTCCCGTCCCCCTCCATTATCTACAACCTTACCCTGTCTTATCCTGTCTCTCTCACTCTGCTGCAACCTGGTGCTGCCTGCAAGCTGATCCTCCTGGCAGCCACTCACTTTATATCAGTCTGCTTCTATCTAAAAAGAATTAAAAGTTACATGTGTGGACAGGAAAGCATATTACCCATTTTGATAGAGGCTGGACTCTATAGAAATCAGCAGCTTCTTCGAGCTGCCAGCGAAGTCAGCAGGGCACCTGGGTGAAAGACCATAAAGTTTCCTTTTTCCTGTGGACTGAGATATGGCCAAATGGCTTCAAAATGCCACATGTATTATTAACAGAGTGCATAATAATGGTTCAGGGAAGGATTGTGGAATTCTTACCATGCTAAATTTCATATGGTATAATCTTCTTATAAAAGTTTCCCTGGCACCACAAGCCAGATTTTCCAATGTATAGACTAGACCTATTGCCTGGGACTGCTACACAGGGAGCTGCAATCTGAAAGGATACATAGCTCCCTAATAGCCTACAATGACACAAATCTATTACTCTCCCTTTTCTCTGAATTCTTACTATACCAAGTATGAAATACTATACATTGAGAAAATAGCAGTGGAGCAGAATTTTTTCCTTTTAATTGCATTGCCTGTTATACCAGTTTGACAAAAGACCAACAAATCTAAGTAATTACAACATATGGGATTATAAATGTCTAATTGGCTTCTAATGTAACAGGTTCAAAAAATGAGTATCAGCTAATACAGTCAGGAAGGCCATATTCTCAGCCGAGGAAGTTAATACGAGAAAGGAGGTCTACTTCTTTTCAGTGACAAAACACAGAATTACCAAACATTGGTAGATTTCTGGGTTATCTTTCCAAATGGCAGCTCACTCCAGATACATCACCAAAGTCTGACGATACAAAAAACCCTAAAACACACACAAGCATCCAAACAAAAAGCCACCAAAAACCCTGAGAAGCAGTAGTTAGATATCTAGTAAAAATGTATTAATTTATGAACGTTCACTAGAATTTTGTAGTTGTTGATGAATTTATGACTATTATTTTCCTGAGAATTTTATATTAAATAGGCATGGTTTTCTGAGATGTCAGTCTGCAAAAAAGATTCTTTGCAGTTTGTGATTTAACAGATCTTCCAGTATGTCAGCTGGGGAAGATATGAGAAGGGAATGTTTTAGAACTCTGTAGCCAAGTTTACCTTTTGGGTATTCACTAAAGCTTTTAGTATTTTTTGTCAATAACAGGTACCTTTGTTTGTTTTAAGGGAAACAAACAAACAAACAAGTAAACCTTCTTTCTGCCTTGCTAGTTCCTAGAGTCAACAAAAAAGGCTGCCATAAGTGTTTTCTCAGCTTGGGATCTACCATGACACTAACAGGCCACCACTTAGGTGAAGACAAGTTGGACCATATTATAAAGGGGAACTCAGAAGTCATGCAGTAATTTGACTAACCAAACCCTGATTACAATTTCAAATATAAGTTCCAGCTGTCTTTTCCTCCTCTGTGGAGGAACGTTTCCTTCCTTCTCTGCTTTACTTCTTATCTTTATTCCCAGCTATCTCTTCCCTTTTCTTTAGGAACAAAAATCCCACAAAGCAAGCAAACAACACCCCCCTGCACCCCCCCAATTCACAGAAGGTTAGAAATAATAAATAAAGCCTGCCTTAGTCCAGACAATTTCTTCTGCAACCACAATTATGAGCTAAGAACCAAGAAAAACAACTTATGCAGCTGCAGTTGACACAAGGCTGTCAGTTTTCAGAACTGCTGATAAAATTTATGCTGCGCCCTAATTTCTGCCACAGACCAGTTATGAAAACGTAAAGAATAGAAGACGCATTATGTGATTTCTGCTCTTGTGTTCTTTTTTACCTGCTGTGTATTTGCCTGTTTTAACTTTCAGGGAAGATGTATGTGAATTCAGCAAGAAAAATAAAAACAGTTTTGGAGTAAATGCATTAATATAAACATCAACCATTTAATTTAACATATTCCAGAAAGAAGCTTGCTGCACTCTAATTTCTGCCAGTAAGATTACTCTGTGAAAACCATTTAAATTACAGGGAGGCTGTGGTCAAGCAAGGTCTTAACTTGATCTTTGCCAAGCTCTTCAGTATCTTCTGAAGGTTCACATTTTCCACATCTTCCTTGCACCTCTTTACTGGATCTCTTCGAGTACACCAACAGGACCTTCAAACTCAAGGCACCAAAACTAACTATAGAATTTTATTACTGGCCTCCCTAGAGCTGTTTATAGAGGAAAAGACACCTCCCACAGCTACTTAATATTCCCCTTGCAAATAAATACAACAGTCACATTTTGTCTATCAGCTACCATACCACACTGCTAGATCTTGTTCTATGTCTTACCTTCCACATGCTACAAGGCATTTTTTGAGTAACAACTTCTCACAGTAACCTTAATAACTACACAAGAAGTACTACTTCCCACAATTTTATATTGTAATTTTTCTGCACAGAGCAATTACCTTCCTGTCCATTTGCAGAACCCTCCACAAATGAAATCTCTTACCTGCCCAAAAAGTTCAGTACCAAAACAGATACCTCAGATACTGATAATACATACTAGAACATTTACTGACACTTACTTTGCCAGGCTTGTTTGCATCAAAGCTGTTTTCTTTAAATTTCTCCTGCAGGGTCTCAGCTAACCGACAAAGCAAGGCACCATTATCCAATTTCTCCATAAAGGTTTCTGCTGTTATTTCTCTACCTGAACAGCAAACAGAAAGTTAACATGGCAAAAAGTGTGCAATTGTGTAGACTGCATTTGCGTAAAAAGAGAACTCAATAGAAATCTTGACAACAATTTTAAATATGCTTTAACTGGAAAACTTGCATTGCTCTGAATATTTACTGAACAACTTCAATGCTACTTTACTAGTAGACATACAGCAAATTATTAAAAAATAACATGCTTTCTTTGGGAAGGCAGGTGCTATTTGTAAAATCATTCTAGTGTATCCGACTCCCCATATCTCATTTTTACTTATGAAATTCCAGTGCTTTTAACATAGTGTTTTAAAAGACATAGTACAGCAGGGAAATGTTTTACACCAGTGTGCATGGGTATCTATAGCGTAAGACTAGCTAACCTTACTGCAGCCTATTTTGTAACAGAAGTAGAAAACCATATCAAGAAAGAAAGGAGTGTGTTTTTGTAAAAGTATTTTAAGACTTGATTCTGCAAGGTGACAAAAGACTCCAGTGACTGCAATGCTCCTTTGAAGAGCTTTTTCTTTAAAAGGGGACATTAAAAAAGGGGGGAGAGTGAAATTTTATGTTATGTATCTACTTGCCACACAAATTAAAAATTTTCACCCAAAGAACAACACCAAAATAGTCCAATTTCATAATATAGCAAGGATTATGCTGCTAGATGACACTGTACTTCAGCTGCCACAGATTGTCCCCCCTGGCTACAGCAGAGCAGATGACCTTCCATTTACATCCTCCTGGCAGAGGATAGCACAGGAGTCCCACTATGAGATGGGCATTCTGACCAGGTGGGACAGGCCAGAAGAGAAAGGAATCATTTATCACCCTAAAATAAATTTCCACCATCTTAACATAATTTCCAGGTAAAAATATTCCTATTTCTTATTGAAGGTTTTCCATTTTCACATTTCTACTGGAAAATTTGCCTTCTTTTTGGACACGTTTTTGACCAGCAGCTGTATTTTTCAGCCCTTCCAACTTCCACTAATATCAAGAGAGCACCAAGGACTAATTCTTGCTCCTCCTATGAAGACAGGATTTATTTATTTTTGGTGATATTTACATATGTCATTTGGGAACAGGAATAACACTATCAACTCATTTTTCATTGACTGTTATACAGCAATCATCAGTAACAATAGTCTATCCTACCAAGAAAAAATAAAAAATTAATAAAACTGAAATGCGAGTGGTTCCTCATCCCATCCAGATTCACTCCTGCAGCACAAACCCGGCTTGTTTGCAAGCAGGACGATATGTAGAAGTCTGCCCACTGCTGGTCTGGTTTTTTTTGCCACAGATTTTTGACCAGTAAGAAGCTGCCTGACTAAACCAGGCTTTTTATGGTTTTCCAGTTAGTTTGGGGAAATGTATTTTCCATGAGATGCCATAATGAAAACATTAATCTGTTCAGAACAGGTTCATAATGGGTTTTTGTCAAAAAAAATAGAAGAAGATTCAGACGAAAAGGTAGTAAAATTTTCTATCCCTTTTCATTCAGAAAAGAGGGGGAAATGAACATTCAAAAGTAAGAAAAATGAAGCAGATAATCAAAAATTAATATTGTACTTCTGCAATATATTGTTGGTACACTGTAATCTGATAGTCAATGTCACTCAGAACACTAAAGACAGCAGTATTATAAAGCAATATGATTACAGAAATGCTAAACGAAATGTCGATTTCTCTAGGCCCTTGTCTGAAAACTGTTAGATACGTCAACATCCTTTGGGAAAAAAAATTGTGAGTCTTTTCAGTTTGGTCAGTTAAAAATTAAAGACTAAGACAAAGATCTTTGCACAAAATCATCTTCAGATATAACAGTATACTTGTATTTTTGGTTGAAGTTAAATCTGTTCCTTTCTAATGCATTTCTACTTCAGAAATATCTGTTTAATGCGAATTTTTTTCCCCTTTTTATTCCCCCTTAATTGTCTCTGCCATATAGCCCACTTTATAGCTCCTGTATACCTAAATGACTTCTGCAGGCAAAAGAGCAGTAGCCACACTGCAGACATTCAGTGGTAGCTTGTGCATAACTGACAATATTTTAGCAGTGCCTCCAGCTCAGCTGAAGCCAGGACCGAAACTATAATAGTCCACAGATACAAGAATTGAACATCTCAGCACCTCAAAAGCCTTCATCACCATTCTAGCCCACGTAGCAACTGCTTTATTTTTAATACACTATCGCATTTTATAGTAGACTCACTTTCTTCTAAATATGTATTTCAAATATTTTTAACCTACTCAAGATTTTACACAGGTAAAAGAAAAATCACATTCTACATATCTATTCTGTCCTATGATTTATAATTTATTATTTTACTGGTCAAGCATTAAAAAAAACCAAAACATCTATTTAGAGGTATTTTCTCTTCACACAGACATTGAAAAATTCTATCTTCTTCTGCTATTTAACAATACATTTATAGTATTTTAAATGCTGGATTGCATTACCAGTTTGGTTGCTGCATATTGTATGCTAAGCTGGAGTATTTTACTTCTGTTCCGTTTTATGAAAGCTGAAAGAATGAGTTTTGCATTGAACATCTGTATCCAATGAAAAATATATTAGGTGTCAGCTTTCAATTCACTGTATTTTATGGCTCCAAAAGGTGGCATTTTCTTTGCTAAAACAGACACTCTGACATATTTAACAGTTGAAATGTATTGATTCAAATGAGAGTAATGTTCATAGCCTGAAGAAAAAAATGGCTCTGTATATTTGTATGGAAAAAACATTAAACTCCATTAAAAATGTATAACTCCCCCTATAATTACAAGAAAGCAGTTGCAATGTTTTTATAGAATGGTAATAACATTAGTATAATAAAAAAACAACACTAAAAGTATGAAAAAACACCCCAGGAATATGAAAGCTTTCTCAAACCTCGCAAGCATTGCTTACCCTCTCCTTTACCACAATCACCAGATTAAAAAGACAAACAGTTACACCTGAAGACCTACCACTTGGAAACTGGGGGCAGCTATCTGCAAGGCCACCCCGCCCTGGGGGTCCTAAAGCAACCAGACTGGGAGGTCTGTGAAAGAATAACTAAAAAGAGCCCATGTCCAAGGTCTGTGCCCAAGAGGCTGTAGATAAAGCATTCTCCACTGGCCATCTCAGACAACAAGAGCCTTCAGAACAAGATGGAGGGACTCAAAGACAAAAGCAAAGTATCGAAATCTAGTTGGTTCCTCTATTATTACACCGAGTTCTTCCACTTAGTTTAACAGCTACAACACAAGACACTGGCTCCAGCCTCACAATTAGCCAAGCAACTATTTTACTTGTACTTTTCAGTGGTAACACAAGACTGCGAGGTTACAGATAGAAATATTTCACATGGGTGAATCTCTGAAACACATCAGTAGAAGGATGAGCTTCTACAATACTGAAGCACCAATGGAACTACTCGTCCTGAGCCTCTCAAATTGTGTGGCATCTAAACCCAAGATAACATAACAGTAGAAATAAAGAAAGCAAAGGCCAATGATTTTATGCACACGCAAAACTGGTTCTTTTCTGACAAGGCTACTGAGTATCCTAGAATAGCTGACAGCAAAAGAAATAGTTTTGATAGCATTGAGATGTTATCACTTACTTGCAATGGGATATATAAACAATCCCAAAGGCATGATGACATTAAAGAAAATTATAAAGCCTCTCAGCTAAATCAGAAACTGCATCAGTGCCAGCAGAATCCTTAGAAGTATCAGTATTAAGAATGTCTTGATATTCAGACATTGAAAACCTGCATTTTCCACTGGCTTGAGCTGAACACACTAATGTTGATAATAAAAGTACTGCTACAGAATCTTCTTAGCAAGATGAGCAAGATCACCAAGCTGAAGCAAGTTTTCTTTAATTCAGAATCTAAGACAGACAGATTTCTTGCAGAAGACTTCCCAATGTTCATCCCCCAAACTTTACACCTCTTTCAGCACACCTTTAAATTCCACACTTGGTCTTCAACTCCATGCCTCTCCTATCATCCTCATCTCTCCGTTTCTTTTCTCCAAACTGACTTCACTTCTGCACCCAAGCAACTTTTACATGCCTCATGCAATATTCAACATTTATGTGTCCAATTCCTCAGCATCTTGAATTCTCCAGCTCCTTACGTATGAGCTTCTGAAGCCCAGAAAACTCTGCCAGGAAGAGACCTTGGTGCAGAAGCCTGGAAATTCAGGCATGTGCCCAGGGCACATCTTACAGGTCTATTCCTTGGTCCCATGTGCTAAATGAAGCCGGATGGAATAAGCTACAATATCATAGCCCTCTGGAGCTGGTAAATGGGCTGCAGGAATGGGGAAAAAGATCACAGCTCTACACAATAGCCAAAGGGGAAACAAAGAAACGATCCCTCCATACTTGTCCAAAACTACAGACTGGTGATGAGCCCCACTCCTCATGTCGTCAGACCTTTCTCCTCTGCAGACACACAAGAGAAAACAAGACAGTACTGAAGAGTATAGCCAACAAGCAAACCATGTTTGCTTTCAAATTGCCATTTTGCCTCTGCTAGAAGATTACTATGGCCCAGCTGTGCTAATTCTGTGCCCAACTGTGAAGCTTGCTCAAGGGGAAACAGTTTTCAGTATCCTCAAGAGCACTCTACTAAAATAAGTGTATACACAGTCTACCAAATTTGGATTGTGTCAAGCAGTGAAAGCATTGCCGAGTGCTTCACTGGCTCTATACAAAATGAAAACAAGGCCGAGACATGATCATGATTTTCAAGACAGTTGGGTCAACTTATCTCCTTAACTTTGCCACTGCAATGTTCTCTCAGATGAGCCACCAGAGCTCAGCAGAGGGAAGTGAGGGTAAGAGACACAACATCCATAGCTCAAATCTTCCTCTTCAGCATGCAAACCCCAATCTCCACAATGCTAATGTATCCCACTTTGAGAATGCTATAATGTACAGTATTGTACAAGTCAATCCCATCTGATACATTGATTTCATCTGCAACTTCCTTCTTCCAGCCCCCAGAATACAGGTAGCTAAAAATCTATTCAGCAAGGGAGCTGTGATGACAAACTGTCCTCTCAGAAGCTCTGAGTTTCTCTGACGTGGTTCCAAAAATAGTTAAGAAAATGCATACAAAAGAACAAGTGATTAATAAAAAAAAAAAAAAAACCAACACAACAATGTCCATGCTAAATTAGAATAAAATGTCCAAAGTCTCAGGGTTAAAAATTCTTAGTGTTATTTTCGAGCTGCACCATGTATCTCAGTCTTCCAATTTGTGGAATAGAATTTGGATGAAGTCAAATTCTAGCTATGCTTAATTTCCATCTAATATCAAAACTCTTCATTCATATTATAAAGTCCAATATCCTTCTAATGTTTTCCAGTTTGTAATTTCAAACCCACACCAGACTTTGCTGCTGCAAAACTGTCACCATTTTAACTTCCAGTAGCACTGCGTAGAACATACTTGCCTCTCCACAAAAATTTCCCAAAACACCATCAGTTGATCAAACTAGCAAAAAAAGTTCAGCCCTATTCTTGTCTAAAATACTTTTGATTATTTTTTTTAAAAAGTCTGCATTTATTTGAAAAGATCATGTGTCCTTCCTTGTTGAGTCATAGTACAAATGAATGAACAAAATATAGATGAAACCAACACAATAAAAATTAATTGAAATGTATATTAATTTTCTTTATAAATTGAGAAATCCTAAAGACACTTAGAATGAGGCACAAGTCATAGCACAGAGCAAACAAGGGTGTGGATACACACAATATTATCTGCTTTGTGTTATTTGCACATCCACGCATGTGAAAATCTACTCACCATTAATGCAAAGTAAATTATCTCTCCCATGGAGGAAAAAAAATAAAATAACAAAAACCACATCAAAACAAACAAGCAAAAAAGAGTCTTGCATATCCTTTTATCTTTTTGGATGTTTTTACAACAAGGTAATGGGATGCTATAAATTCATGCCTATTTTATCTTACAGCAGCATGCTCACATGTCCCTCCTCTCACTGAATTTAACTTAAATTATACAGTAATTAAACCAAATTTGGATTCTGAGTTAATATATTTATATGAATATGAATTACTTTAATTCAGTTACACTTAATTTATTTTGAATGTGAATTTTAACTTAATTGAATTATTAATTTGAATAACAATATCTACACAGGAATTCAAAACAGCTCAACAAATTGCTATAATTTCAGCTCTTCAGGACAAACAGAGAAGAGCTTGGTGTGAGAAGGTGTGGGGGAATGCATTAAGCAAGTGAACTGTGTATGCTGCTTAATTAGAAGAAGGTTGAGCCCCTTTAGTGCTGCAGTGCAGAATTTGGTGTCCATATGAAAAATCAGATTATTAATTATAGTTGGCATTCCAGAACCTCCTGCTGGTTGCTACTTTCATGCTAAAAAAGTGACCTCATTCCTAAACTTGTCACTGTGAGAACTCTGTTATGAACTGCAAACAAGCTTCTGTTTGTTTTAGAGTGGCTCACTAAAACGCCATTGTTTAGAACATTTAAACAATATATTAAATCCTTCATGGAATGTGCTGCTTCTGATTCAAAAAACAGGCTTTTGGAATGCTGTCTTGTGGTAATTGGAAAGAAAAGTCAGGATTTCTGGATGCTGTTCTGGCATTGCCTAGACAATTTTATATTCAAAACTCCTTAATTTAAATGGAAGTACCACAGAACGACGTAATTTAAAAGAAGTGCCACTTTTGCAGTTGTGGATTCATAACTACTCCAACTCTAAAATGGGTGTCGCCTACCTGCAAAATACTGCGTTCTTGCATTCTGCTGACATGGTACTTCTGGACTACACCTCTCACAACATAGTGATACTTCCCTTTGTTTTAAAAAAAGGGGAAATACAGCAATGTAGAACACGCAGATGAAAGGCACCAGAGATACTCTATTATTGTATGATATCACTGAGACGGTTCAGCTACAGCATTTGCCAAGACAAGACGCTGCCTGCCTATGTCTCACCAGAACAGACTGCCAGAAAAAAAAAGGAAAAAAACCACTCCAAAAACACACATCACAGATTTAAAAAAGCTCATCCAAATATTCCTCCAAAATAACATCATCAAAATTTTTATGTAAACATCACCTCCTCTAAAGTATTTTTCTCCTCTTTGTTTAACTACTGGCATGTTTCCCTTAGGATGAGGTATTGTGTACGGTTGTATGTCTTTGGTAGAATTCTTCTGACTTACAGAGATCACACAAAAGCTGTTTTCTGCTGAATGCTCTCAGCAAACAACATACTATTTCCTGGCTCACGGTTTCTAAATTCTGCCTTCTTGAATGAGTCGTATATCCCAAAGAACTGTCTCTTTCCTTCCTGCTAGGAACATACTCTCATTCGCTCCTCTTCACATCTACCTGTTTTTTCTTGGCTTTGGGTTAGCATCCGCTTTCATCAACACCACATTTCGGCTTCGCGTACCAAGACATACAGCTGCAACCGGTAAATCCCCAGGTCCCATCGCAGCCACTGGGTCAGACCCTGCTGTGCACAAGCTTCCGCAAGTCTTAACATGTGTTGCCTTGGGCAGCAATTATCAATCACTAAACTGCTTGGTCAGCAAAGAACTATTTAATGGCTCCTTCCCTTCAAGACAGTCAGTACACCCATACTCTTTAGGATGCCTATCAATAACAATGAAAGATGTAGTCCATGGCAGTAATTAGCATCGTTAATCTTAGTTGTATTAATACTGAACACACATGCAAAAAAACATTTAAAAGGATATTTGAGGAAAAATAAACATGAAATTAATTATAAAGTTCAATTACGCTACTCACTGAAACACCGTGGAGGCAAATTACTTACTAGCTTTTCTGACCTTGCTAAGAGTTGCAGTATGTGGAGGCAGCTACCTAATTGTAACTACCTTTATTTTTGAAATGCAAAGAAGTCTGAATGACTGAATTCCCAGCTAACAGTGTATAGAGTTCTCTTGCTGCCCAGTATTTGCATTCCATCTTGTATCTTACCCAGTAGGTTTGTGAGCCACAGGGCCAAATCCTCTTTCATGGGCAGCAAGTTGGCCTCATGTCTACTCGCAAGCCACTGGCTGTATTGATGCATATCAGAGAGGCCAGGCCCACGTGCCTTCGGGCTCAGAGCAGTGCACATTGCTTATCTGCTTGTTGTACCTGTTTTATTATATTAAAAAAAAAAAAAAGAAAGAAAAAAAGCATTACTTTATTATACCAAATAAAGTTTCTCAGGTTCTCTTTTCAGAACTGTAGAAGATAACAACAGTAACTATGACTCTAAGAACTCAGATGTCAAACAGATGTAGATCTAACACATGAACACAACATCGATGACTGAAGTTATGTTTTGTTAATGGATCACATAGCAAGTGATTAAATCATACAGATAAACATCAGCTTCATTTGTACTCACCAAGCTACACGTTGCCAACACATAACCAAATATTCTGTAAGGAATGATTAAAATCAAATCAAAATAAACATTTTACACAAAGATAACAACTCACTACAGTGCCTGATCCAAAATCCATTCAAAATAAATTGAAAGCTTCAGAGATTTTTGGATCAGGCCCAAGAAAAACATGGGAACAACTGAGTTACGCTAGTACAGCAAACCTACTAACAACTAACAAATGCAGTTACCAAATGGAATCAGTCTATTCTACAGATTTAGAATCATGAAAGAAAATACCCCACCCCAAATATATTTACTGAATGGCATTATTTCTTCAGAAAGCAGCACAACAGCTAGTGCTGGTCACCCACATTTCCCACTTCCACCTTCTATACAAATACTCCTTCAGCCACAACTTTCTAAAACTTTAGTTTCAGGTAAGACAACACATCATGCGTCACACGTTAGTTAAGTGTTCCGAGCCTCGCAGCAGCCAGAGAGGTCAGACCCACTGGATCTATACCTCTGCTCCTGAAGGACTACTCTCTGGCAGAAGTGTGCTAAGGGAAGAAGGTTACTATTCTCCCTGAAAAGAAACTCAGACACAGACCCTAACACTTGTAGCGATGAGCTGATGCACTCTCTTGCCTGGTAGCCCGTAGCCTACTGAAAGCCCAACCACACCAACAGTCGCAGGTCTTCTACAGGTGGCACCAGACAGATATTAACTGAGGGTGTGAGGTCCGCACGGAATAGATCTTTGCCTATTGTCAGCCGGCTAATCCACACCAACCGCGGTTACATGTGTCGGCTGGCTTCAGCTTATGATACATTGCAAACCCTGTTTCCTTCTGTCCTTCGCGTACCTTTCAAGTCAGGCAAGAGGTAGTTGTGACTTCAAAAACAACCACCCAAAAGAACAATTTGTTATACTATTCCATTGGGGCCTGAAATAACAAGAATACTAAAACCAATTCCTTTGCCAAAAAAAAGGAAAATGTTTACTGAATGTAAAGCACAATTGCCTTTCCATAAAATTGAATGGTAACCAACATTTCCAAACGTATGAACTTCTATTTGGGCTATTTTAATGCTTACATTAAAAGACTCCCGCATTTTTTAACCATACCTTGGGTAACTAAATTCTTTGTTCTCAAAAAAATCTGCTTAAGCTCTTGTTGAGTGTACCTCACCCCAAATCCTGAAGTTCAACTTGCCCTTGAGATAGTCACAGTATGAATATACTTCTTACTGAAATATGAAAATTTTTTCAGTTGGGGAAAGGGGAAAATAGACTTAAAAAAGACTTTATTCCCTTGTATAAACACACGTTTTGAATTATCAGTAGGTTTTACATTTTTCTAATTAAAAAATCCTTGTGTATCAAAGTTGCTTTGTAAGCAGAGGAGTTTAAGGTAGTAAGTTAAGCACAGCTCTGTTCTGAAAACTGACTTTGTAAAAATGTCAGCTTGGATTTACGGTTTCCTGGCTGATTAAATCCAAATCCTACCTGTTCATTTGGGGAGGAGTGTGAGGGGGCAGAGGGAGAAGAGTCTGGCTGTTAGGTCTGCAAAAATCCATCTGGAATGTCACTCAAAATAGATTCCTTCGGATGAGGTGATACTAACAGCTCAGGAGTTGCCATGACAGTATATCTAAAGTTGCTGTAAGTCACCCAGAGCCATGCAATTTGTAACTTAAATCACTGCTTCATTTTGGACATAACGAAACAGAAGCAAGATGAATAATTGACACCGTCTCATCTTCAAAGATTATATGGGAAAAATCACGTATAAATACCTCTGTCATATACTTTCTTTCCAGGAAAAAAAAAGCCTTAAAATATTTTTTTTTAACTGATTTCTGGGTCTATAAACTTCATGGATAAGGTGAGAGCCAGAACTCAAACTAGTTTATTCTCTTCAATCATCTCTGAAATGATATCCCTAAAAAGCCATTAAAAAAATTTCTCATCCCTGAATGTTCACTTCATATACAATGCAAAAATAAAGCAAAAGTAAAAATACATATATTTTTACATCACTTTTCATCTTATTAACACCTATGTATCTAAATATTCAGGAAACAGAATCCTGCAATTTGTTTCTTTTGATATACGGATTGGAAAAATATACCTGAAAAAAGCAGCACCACTGTACTAAAGAAACCAGTTAAGACAGTGCACCTCTTCAGTGGAAATAATTTCACAGTTCATACAAGCTTTGAGGAGGGGGTTTGACTAGATGACCCCGAAGGTGCCTTCCAACCTAAATAATTCTGTAATTTTATACTGCACACAGAAATATTCATCGTGGGACCCTGTGCTAGGTCTGCCCTCCTAGGAGTATAACACACAGCACACACACTGAGCTGGGTTGTGTAAACAGGAAAACTACAGAGACAACATCCTTTTCTTTCACCTCAGAAAAGGTCCACCTACCTTACCACTTCCAAGACCAAGTAATATGAAGTGCCCTATGAAACCTGGAGCCAATTAACAGCCAACAACATTACAATATGCCTGACAGCCAGACAGATACAATACGGGCTGCTGCCACCTGTGGGGCTGAAGTAATTCTAAGGTCTGAAAGTTGCATTTCTTTAAGACTAGAGGAAAAAAAGAGGGAAGGCTTCTGAAGCAGCTCCATGGAGGCAGTTTGGATTTCCCCGTCAGTCTGTGAAACAAGGACTGCAGTCTGTTTACGCTTCAAGCTGATCTCTGGAGACGCAGAGCAGAGAAGTCAGGGATTTGAGATGTTACTTCAGTTTGGCTCTAACATACTAGGCTGTCCTTAAATATATTTCATACTGACCTACCTCTTGTTTCATAAAACTCAGCAACCAGGCTGTGTAAAGTTCTTGAGGAACTTTTGAGACTCACTGCAGGAAATAAAATGGGAGAATAAAGAGCTCTGATTTTGGAGGATGCGTGGGTGCGTGAGTTTGGTAGTAACTGTGGTAGTAAGAAGCGAGAAGATCCAGAGACGAGAAAGGTATTCTGAGTTTAAGGTAGTTTTAATAGGACACAGGTTCTCAGAATGGGAAACTAGCAAAGATGAGGAAAGGCAGACAGACAGGTGACAAAACGTCTAGAAGCTGAAGATGATTCAGGCGTCTTGATACTGAGACTAGGTCTGCTTGCAATAGCAGCCCTGAATTAACAACAACGTATGGGTTGATATCTGCAGCAGACACGTAAAGTGAGGACTGCAGAATGAGACAGTTAATACTGATGAAGAGTTTCCACCGAGAAGAACCCTGAAAAATCACAGATGAGTCACATACAATCCAACCTTACCTCTCTAAGTTTTCTTTAATTTCATTACCGAAAGGAACGACTTTTCCCCTTCCCTGCTACTGCTCTGAAAACCTGCCCTATGCTTCAGTAAAATACTTTCTTATTAGAATCAAAGCAACAAAATTTCTTCTTTGAATCTTTAAAATTAAAAAATAAAAAAAATCAGCCTTCAAGGAGCAGAGCACAACTTGTTACCTGTAGCTCCCATCACAAATTCTACAAGTGATACTGTGGGTCAGTTATCAAACTGCAAGCATCAGAAGCTATCAAACTTCTAATTATACTTTATGCAAACACTGACCACTACTGAACTTCTAACTTAAGCCTCCATGATACTTCAGTGCTGAAGTACCTAAGTGTCATTAAAACATTTGTCTACTTCATCAGCTGTAATAGCCCATACATTAACTATTAAAACATCATCATATACTAGCTGAGATCTGTGAAGCTGAACTAAGTTAGGTGAAGGCGACAACAGCTGGGTCCTGAGCTCCTTCAAGACCTCTTTGAAGATTCTACCTATAGTCAACACCAGGCTCCTGATACCATCAAGTCACTTCCTTAAAAAGTCTTAACGTATTTATTTGCTGGTGAGCTGGAGAAAAGTTTACTGACAATTGAGCAGTGAGGAATCTGGTCAGAGAAATGGACTAAGTTGCCACAGAGATAGACAGTAGCATCGCAGGATACATCACCACAGCTGAGGCAAGCCTCTTTGGCTCCAACAACAATTTCATCCTTTCCTTTTGGCAGACATAAGGTACGAAAAAAGTAGCCAAAAAATTATTGGTTTTCCTAATCTCCCTACTTTCTAACAGCAACATCCAACCATCATATATACAGTTCTTTAGAGCTAGCCAACACAAACGTGTCAAATAATTGATAGAATGTTAAACTTCTCTGTAAGCTGTTGAGGCTGACGTGAGATACGCACAAGCATTTTCAAAACTTACCTCTAAATGCTTTGTTCCTCAAAAAGCAACTTCTTCCCCTTCCTATTCTGAAGGCAGGCAAGAAAGCTCTTTAACTACTTTTCATTCTGTTTTGTTACAGGTCATATTTATGCAGCACAGCCTTTTTTTCCACGTCTCTCAATAAGAGGACATCTCAAATTCTTAGACTTATTGTCTAGCTGAAGGATTCAGTGTGGGATAGTTTACAGTACACCCAGTGACATGTAACAGATTCAACACACTGAAAGGTTATATTTCTCTCTGCTTCCTTCTACCAAACAGTGAAGTTTTTATTTTGCTTTACAGTAGTACATTTGGATTTCTGTGTATTGTAGCTTACTGCTCGTATTTTGCCAGCAATGTAACTTATACTATCTGCTGATTGTTGTCAGTGATCATCAGGTGAAAGCAATGAGAATCAAACAAGTAATCTTCTGTAATTCCACTGGCTTTTGTTGGGGTTAACTGGTAGAACAAAGGACTCAAGAATG